GACCCCAGGTGTGCTTGCCAGCCCCATCTGCCCCTGCCCCGAAGCCGTCCCTGCCAAGCTGTGCGGTCCTGGGTGAGCTCTGCGCCTCTGCCTTCGTTTCGTGTAGATGGATGCGTTTCTTTGTAATTCCAGTGTTCTGATGACATTTAAAAGAAAAAAAATGAATTTCCTGCTGCAGGTCTTCTCTCCATGTGTCACTAAGTGAAGTTGTGCCTTCTATAGCAAAGAGAATATTTTTTACATCCTACTAACAGTAGATTTTTTTGTAGTGAACATTTTTTTGTATTTTTATTTATAAGTCTCATAAGAAAAATAGCAATGTTCAGTTGTATACCTTGAATCTGCAGTTAGAAGAGAATAAAGTTAATTCAGTTGTCTCCGGCTCGAAGTGTCGCTGTTTGTAAGAACTGGTTTGTCTTTTCTGCCTTTTCTTGGGCGGGGTCGTAGAGGAACTGAGATTTCCGTCTGCGGAGGGAGAGAAAGCTCCGGGCCCCGCATTCAGCCTCATCCATTCGTCACTTCTATGTCCTATTTACCGGCACAGACCCACTCCACGACATATTTCTCTAATACTGGTAAGGAAAACGGTGTGCACGACGCTGCTGTCACTTGACCCCGTGGCACAACGTGTGAAGCAGGCACGAGTTCATCGTTCCTTCAGCCGGTCCGGTGGCTGCGGGAGGCGGGAGCAGCTCTGGGCAGTGCCAGGGCGCCTGCCCTCGGGGAGCTGGCCGTCTGGTGGCCGTGAGGCTCCCTGGGCTTGTGTCCGCACAGCTTGCTCCGGATCACAACGGCTGATGAGTGAGTCACGGAGTCAGAACTTGCATCCAAACCTCCTGCTACCAAATTGGGTTTGTCTCTCCAGGACTCCAGAGGCAGGGCTGTCGTCTGGTCTTTATTAATAGAGACATTTTTACTTCTCAGCTTCAGCAAGTGCCACACATTTCTCAGCAAGAAGCTGCCACCCCATGTAAGGCCCCTGGGTCTGTGGCAGCCAAGCCCATGGCGAAGGGAGATGGACCGGGGAAGGCACAGGTGGGAGGTGTGCGAGCCCAGCGTCACCGCAGCAGGATGAATGCAGCCTTCCCTCCCGCAGAACTCGGGGGCACCCGCCCGCCTCCGCTCCCTGTCTCTGGGCCAAGGCGTCCTCTCGAGGCCTTCCCCTCCCTGGGGCTGGGAGCTTTGCCCTGTTGTTGAGCTAGGAAACCACTTCTGCCCAGTCCTAGGCCTGCTGGCTCCGTGCCTCTGCCCAGAGCCTCCTGCCTGCCCTGCTCCGACCACAATAACCCATCTCCTCACTAAAACCCAGGACACAGCGCTGATGGCTGCAAGCCTGGGGGGAGTGGGGGGGGGCGGGAACCAGTGCTCAGGGCCCACCTGACCTGCGTTACTGGGGGTCACTAGGAGCCATCGCTCTGCACCCTCCGGCACCACAGCCTGTGAGGGAGGCCCGGCTCTTTGCCTCACCTGCCTGCTCGGGCATGGACTGGAAGAGTGGCCTTTCATCCCCTTTGTCCCTGAGGGGCCGAGGGAACCTAATTGAGAACTGCCTGGCTGGACGCCCTTCCCAGGAACAACACAGCAGGGCGCTCTCCAGCCCTCCAGCCTGTGGCTTATCAGTCTGTCTACTTTCTTCTCTTTTCTCTCTGCTCCTCTCTCTCCTCTTCCCTTCCCTTCATCTCTCTCTTTTCCTTTCACCTCATCTTTCTTCTCTGTCTCCACTCCTTTCTCCTTCTTCCTCTTGTGAAATTTTTGTTGTCCTCTTTTTGTTTTTGCTTTTGTGTCTCTGTCTCACATTCTTGGAAACAATCCTTTGCCAAAACACATAGCAGGTTTGATTTTGAGCCCCTGTCTCCACGCCGTCCATCCATCCCTTTCTTCTCTGGTCCTGGGCACTCCCCAGGCCTCGCCCCTCCCGGGGTCTCCCCTCCCCCGCAGGCTCCCGTCCCTCCCCCACACTCCTCCCTACTTAGGCCTCCGCTTTCTCCTGACAGATGGGAGGGAGGGAGCACTGCCTCTTTAAAACAACATTTAATCGCCGTTTTCTGTTCTTGGACATCAAAGCCGGGGCTTAGGCGCTGCGCTGGGGTCGCGGTGGCGCAGGCTGGGGGGGAGAGGAGGTGCGTGAATAGGCCCCGGCTGAATGGGCTTTGTGTGGCTGCCAGGGTCTGCCTGCTTTACATGCTCTTTGACCCAGATATGATCTCATGGAGAGAAAGGGGCCCTGGCCGGGCCAGCCTGAGAACGCTCGGTGGCCCCGCTCCGTCCTTCTCCCTCCCCCGGGAGCCCTGGCCCAGCTGCCCTCTGCCCCAGCCCGCAGCCCTGGGCAGCCTCCTCCCGGACAGGACTTGCCAGAAGGGCACTCTGCTGGGGTCAGAGGAGGGGTCAGGCAGCCGGGGGAGGGGCCACATTCCTCCTGAATGTGTCTCCAAGGATATTAAGTGGGAGCCCCCTGAGCACAATGTCCCTCTGGCCAGGGCCGATTGGGTTCAGGTGGGCCGTGGGGTCGAATCCCGTCAGCCTTAACAGCTCTCCTTCCAGCCGTTCTGAGGGGCTCCCCTCTGCCCAGAGCCGGGAGCCAGCAGAGGCTTGCTGAAGGCCTGAAGGCCTGAGCACGGTGTGGCAGCAGTCCAAGGCCTGGCCTTCTCCATCCAGCTCAACATTGCCAGGCTCCCCTGGCCCCCACAGGAGGAGAGCGGGCTGGGGAGCACTGGCCGCACTGCTCTGCCTGCCCCTGTCCCAGCCTCTCCTTCCTCTGAGCAGCCAGAGGGATTCTCCGAAAATGCACACAGCGTCGTGTCAGTCCTTGGGCTAAAGGCCCGGTGGCTCCTCGTCACTCAGGATGGAATCGGAACTCCTAACGAGGCCGGCAAGACCCTTGGTGGTAGGGCCCTGTGCTCGCCGCCCCGCCTTGTCTCAGAATCACCCGCATGTCCCTTTGCCACCCCGGCTACTCTGGCCTGGACAACTGGACCACAGATGATTCTGAAGACACGGAGATCCGCCCCCCAGGGCCTTGCACATGCTGTGTCCTCTGGGGGGAACGCTGCGACTCACACACTCCCCTCCCTTCCGTCTGGCCACCTCACGTGTCGTTACTCAGGTCGCAGCTCACACCTTTCTCTGGGGAAACCTTCGCTGGCCGGAGCTGGGCGGTGCCTCCAGGCCGCACCTGCTGTTGTGCACGCATCACCTGCTTTCTCAGCTGTTGTCACTGCCTGACTGGCAGCTTCCTGCAGGCAAGAATTGTGCATTGAACGTCTTCCTGAGCTCAGAGCCTAACACGGCCGGGTATGTGGTACACACCCAGTAACCCTTTGCTGAATAAACAAATGAAAGGAGGGGATGGAGAGGGAGGGAAGGAGAGAGGCAACGCGCATCCGGGGCTGAGGTTGCAGTTACCAAGGATGGTGGAACCCGATACTCCGTGTACATGCCGTGCCCGCCCAGGCCTTGTGCACGCACATCCCCGGCTGCGGAGGCCACAGCGGAGGCTCTCCTGCTTCCCTCACATGTGTCATGTCAGTGCACAGAGACATCTGAACGGTGTTTGCCATGTGCAAAGGGAGGAGCAGCCAGCACAGGACACTGCTCCTCGCAGGCAGGGTGCTCCCTGGGCATGTCTGTGTGTGTGTGTGTGTGTGTGTGTGTGCGCGCGTGCGCGCGCATGAGTGCACGCATGCACACGGGTGCATGTGGACACCTGGTCCCCAGCCACGATGGTCTTGGCAGTCTGGGCCCACCATCCCCACTCCTGGGCCTTGGCCCTCCCGGCTGCAGGAGGGCGGGCTCCTCTCTGGGCTGTGTTTTCTGCTCTCCGGGGCGCCTCAGTGAAAGTGAACTCACTCATTTCAACCTGCCTCGAAGCCCGCAGCCCCCGCTGCGCTAATTGCCCTGTGGCTCTAAGCCGACTGCGGTGCGCGGAGCTTAAGCCCTCCTCTACTTATTTACCGACTACATTAACGGCAACGCCGCTGCTCCCGCCTGTGTGCCGGCTGGCTGCACCCCGTTCCTCTGCACCTCCCCAGGAAGCTGGGGTGCAGAGATGCAGCCTGGCACAGAGCCCCCGAATCTGCCAGAGTCCCTGGGGCCAGACAACAATGAGAAAATCGTTGCCTTTGTCCACACGGACTCCACAGAGATGCAGCCTGGCACAGAGCCCCCGAATCTGCCACCCTCCCAGAGTCCCTGGGGCCAGACAACAATGAGAAAATCATTGCCTTTGTCCCCACGGACTCCGGACCAGAGGGAGGGGGCTGCTTCTCTGCCAGCCCGCCCGCCAGGATGACCCAGCGGAGCACACTCCGCAGCCGCCCTTTGGCGCCCACAGCGTCTGTGAGGGGTGCGCACCGGACACCTCTTACAGACTGGGGGGCTGGGGCTGGGACTCCGGAGCTGTTGGTGCTGACGGTGAGACTTGCAGCCGAGACTGAATTCCAACAGCTCTGTCTGTCCTCTCCGCACGCTGCCTGCCCAGGAGCTGTCTCCCTTCTCCTGGCCCCACCCACCCAGGTCTGCCCACTGCCTGCTAGTTGTAAGTCCTCATAGCTTCTACTCTGTGCCCGGAGGAGGTCCCGTGTTGAAGCAAAACCTCTATCTCCCAGCTTTGTCTGCCTTGCTGACATGCTTGCCAGAATTTGCTGGAAATTCAGGGACTGGAGCCTTTTTCATGCTCAGCAGCCTTTCCCGGGGCAGACCCAAGTCCAGCCCTAGCCACACCCCCACCTCCCTCTTCCTGGCGATAGGGTCCTGCCTATGCTCTCATTCCAGGGGGCATGCGTGCCCGCAACCAGGCACTGCCTGCTTCTCAGTGTCCTCCTGCCCCGTGGCAGGGCTGGGCCCTGCACTGAGGCCAAGGCAGCATTCTGGAGACCAGAGGGGCCCCATGAAGCGTGCCACGGATGGATCCATGGGGTCAAGCACCCAGGCTCCACTCTATTTGAAATAGCATGAGTGACTCCTAAGGAAAGGGGGCAGTGGGGTCTGGCAGAGAAAACCTGGGGCTCAGAATCCAGATGACCTTGGTCTGAGGTCAGCTCTGCACTTACTGTGTGGCCTTGACTACATCTCAGGATCGCTCTCAGGTTCTATTTCCTCAGCTGTACAATGGGTTCAGGAACACCTGCCCTTCTACCCTCAGGACATTCACCTACGGGAACACAAGGCACAAGAATCAGCTTTCTAAACACCACGGTGCTGTAAACATGACAGTTGTAAATGGCGGCAGGCTCAGGGGTGGCCAGGGAGAGGAGGTGGTGGCCTAGACACTTATTTCCAGGGCAAGAGCCCCTCAGCCAGGACCCGGGGACCTGGGGTCTGGAGTGGAGGCGGCCTCTGCTGGCATCGCCGGGACTCTGTCGCCACCTGGTGGGCACAGGCTGCA